TCTCTCTTGCTGGAAAGCTTCTAAACAATGGCAAGCCACAAGCTCAACCATGTGCAGTGGCAAAAGCAATCCATAAGTGTAATACACACACACACACACACAAAACACATTTATAGTTTTCCTGGCTGTCTTCTATGTATGGATAAGACTGATTTTCATTTTTGGAGGTGGAAAAGAGTTTGCTTTTCATACAAACATATTTAAGAAAATATTAATCATTTAAATATAAAATGGTAAGAAAAGTGTGCAGGTGGTAACAGAAATGCCAGTCATTTTATATCTGACATGAGGCAGAGAATCTTGCTTGTAGCTTGATAACCCTGGGTTGAGGATGATTTTGTGGGAGCGGCGAATGGCTCTCTTTGGACCACATGACACACGTTCATGTGGTAGATGACAATGACAGTATATACAGCTAGGCACTCCAGGCCTAGCTTCTTTGTCTGAAAGTAAATATCCCCCATGCAATGTATAATTATTAAAAAAAAAAAGCAATAACTAATATTGTAGAATGCTTGCCAAGCACCATTCCAATCTCCTTACATGTATAAAATTCTTTCATCTTACAAGCTAGATGCCATTATTATGCTCCTATTACAGGAGACACAGAGAGGTTGTGAGGCACAGCTAAAAGTGACAGAGGTGGGATGTGCACCCATGCATGCTGTCTGCACCATCATGCCCTCACCCATTGTATTAGTTTGTTTTCACACTGCTGATAAAGACATACCCAAGACTGGACAATCTACAAAAGAAAGGGGTTTAATAGACTTTCAGGTCCACATGGCTGGGGAGGCCTACAATCATGGCAGAAGGCAAGGAGGAGCAAGTCATGTCTTACATGGATGGGAACAGGCAAAGAGAGAGCTTGTGCAGGGAAACCTCCATTTTTAAAACCATCAGATCTCATGAGATTCATTCACTATTATGAGGACAGCATGGGAAAGACCTGCCCCCATGATTCAATTACCTCCCACTAGTTCCTCCCATGACACTTGGGAATTGTGGGAATTACAATTCAAGATGAGATTTGGATAGAAGCCCAGCCAAACCATATCTTTCTGCCTCTGACCCCTCCCAAATCTCACATCCTCACATTTTGAAAACAATCATGCCCTCCCAACAGTCCCCCAAAGTCTCAACTTACTTCAACATTAACTCAGAAGTCCACAGTCTAAAGTGTTATCTGAGACAAGGCAAATCCCTTCTGCCTATGAGCCTGAAAAATCAAAAGCAAGTTAGTTACTTCCTAGATACAATGGTGGTACAGGCATTGGGTAAATACAGCAATTCCAAATGGGAGACATTGGCCAAAATGTTTTGGGGCTACAGGCCCCATAAAAGTCCAAAATCCAGCAGGGCAGTCAAATCTTAGAGCTCCAAAATGGTCTCCTTTGACTCCATGTCTCATATCCAGGTCACGCTGATGCAAGAGGTGGGTTCCCAAGGTCTTGGGCAGTTCTGCCTCTGTAGCTTTACAGCTCCCTTCCTGGTTGCTTACATGGCTGGCATGAGTGTCTGTGGCTTTTCCAGGCACATGGTGCAAGCTGTTGGTGGATCTACCATTCTAGGGTCTGGAGGACGGTGGCCTTCTTCTCATAGCTCCACTAGGTGGTGCCCCAGTAGGGCCTCTGTGTGAGGGCTCTGACCCCACATTCTCTTCCACACTGCCCTAGCAGAGATCCTCCATGAGGGCCCCACCCCTACAACAAACTTCTGCATTTCCATACAACTTCTGAAATCTAGGTAGAGTTTCCCAATTCCTGACTTCTGTGCACTCACAGGCTCAACATTATGTGGAAGCTGCCAAGGCTTGGGGCTTGCACCTTCTGAAGCCACAGCCAGAGCTTTACATCGGCCCCTTTTAGCCATGGCAGGAGTGGCTAGGATGCAGGGCACCAAGTCCCTAGGCTGCACACAGCACAGGGACCCTAGACCTGGCCCATGAAACCACTTTTTCCTCCTAGGCCTTTGGGTCTGTGATGGGAGGGGCTGCTGTGAAGTCCTCTGACATGCCCTGGAGACATTTTCCCCATTGACTTGGGGATTAACATTCTGCTCCTTGTTATTTATGCAAATTTTTGCAGCCAGCTTGAATTTCTCCTCAGAAAAGGTTTTTTGTTTTTTTTTTTTTCTATTGCATTGTCAGGCTGCAAATTTTCCAAGCTTTTATGCTTTGTTCCTCTTATAATTCTGAATGCCTTTAATAGCACCCAAGTCACCTCTTGAATGTTTTGCGGCTTAGAAATTTCTTCCACCAGATACCCTAAATCATCAAAGTTCCACATATCTCTAGGCCAAAGGCAAAATGCCACCAGTTTCTTTGCTAACACACAACAAAAGTCACCTTTGCTCCAATTCCCAACAAGTTCCTCATTTCCGTATAAAACCACCTTAGCCTGGACTTTATTGTCCGTATCGCTGTCAGCATTTTGGGCAAAGTCATTCAACAAGTGTCTAGGAAGTTCCAAACTTTCCCACATTTTTCTGTCTTCTGAGCCCTCCAAACTGTTTTAACTCTTGCCTGTTACTCAGTTCCAAAGTTGCTTTTTTTCTCTTTCAAAGATGAGACTCTCACTTTTTTTGTTTTTTGGTGGTGAAGTAGGCTGTGAACCAGGACTGCCTGACACCAAAATCCATGCCCTGGGCTCAGGCTGCCTTCTGAAATCTCTTCACAGGGAAACAGAGGTCAGTGGCCCTAACCTCTAGGCCAAGAGACTCATCTTCCTCTTTGATTGAACATCAAATAGGATTCCATCCACATAGCCGGGGGGACTAATCACTGGCTTTAATTACAAGTCAGCTAGGGCCTCACTCTTTCCTAATGAACACTCCCCACACTCCCCAAACTGCAGGATCTGCTATCACTCCTGCGTGGGCAAACAGGAACATCTGCAACCCATGATTACACACACCGCATCGTGCTTGGAAAATGCTCGGCTCTTCCCTCCACAGCCCCAGTCACTTTGATGGAATGACATAGTCAAGCGCTGAAATTTGAAAGGGAAAATTCAGCTTGAGCTTGGGCAGAACTTTCAAAGATTCAGAGCCAAGTCACAACAGGGAACTCTCAGGTGTCAGCAAGTGTCCTGTGACTCTGGGCAGGCTAATTCTCTTTTTCTTTCTCTCTCTCTCTCTTTTTGAGACAGAGTCTTGCTGTATTAACCAGGCTGGAGTGCAGTGTCAAGATCTCTGCTCACGGCAACGTTCACCCCCTGGGCTCAAGCGATCCTCCCACCTTACTCACCCTCTCTCACCCCCCACCCGAGTAACTGGGAGTACAGGCACACATCACCAAGCCCAATTACACTTTGCATTTGTTGTAGAGACAAGTTTTGCTGTGTGCCACGGCTGGTTTCGAACTCCTGAGGTCAAGCAATCTGCTGGCCTCACCCTCCCAAAGTGCTAGGGTTACAGGCTTGAGCCACTGCCCTCAGCCCAGCTGATGGTGTCCTTGTGAGGTTGTCATGGCCAGTGCGGATGAAAGTGTGTGGTTCACACAATGGGACCAGTCCATCGTTTCTAGTCTACAGTGGACATCACTCATGAACATATGTGCAGAGTTTGTAAATCTTCAATTTTTCTGTTACTTTTTTTTTTTTTTTTTTTTTTTTTGAGATGGAGTCTTGTTCTGTCACCCAGGCTGGAGTGCAGTGGCAGGGTCTCAGCTCATTGCAACCTCCACCTCCCGGGTTCAAGCGATTCTCCTGCCCCAGCCTCCTGAGTAGCTGAGATTACAGGTTCCTGCCACCAAGCCCAGCTAATTTTTGTATTTTTAGTGGAGACGGGGTTTCACCGTGTTGTCCAGGCTGGTCTCAAGATCCTGACCTCTGGTGATCCGCCTGCCTCGGCCTCTCAAAGTGCTGGGATTACAGGCATGAAACACTGTGCCTGGCCAATTTTTCTGTTACTTCTTTATACATTTATTGAATTCTTTCCTGTTAAATGTGAAAAATTGTGTTTTGTATTTTGTGTTTGATTTCATTTTCTCCATAATTGACATAATTATATTTATCTTCCCACCTAAGAGGAAGCATCCTCCACCACACCGCTCAGCAGGATAGTTTACTCATCAACTTGCCATGGTTTTTGCCATAGCCAAGATTTTGAAGCAAGTGTCAATCTGGAGCACCAAGGCTTAGGCCATGCAGCCTTCCCCAGCCTCAGTGTCACTTGGTGTCTGCGATCAGGAGTTGGGGAGCAGGTAGCAACATCCCAGCCTTGGGATGGCTTCCCTTTTCTTCTTTGTAACCAGATTTTGAAACATTGTTAGTTTATTTTTATTTTATTTTACTTTTTTTTTTTTGAGATAGAGCCTCATTCCATCGCCCAGACTGAAATGCAGTGGCACCATCTTGGCTCACAGCAACCTCCGCCTCCCAGGCTCAACTAATCTTCTCACCTCAGCCTCCCAAGTAGCTGGGACTATGCCCGGCTAAAATTGCTAGTTTCATCAGGCTCTGATCCACAATGGCCTTTTGCTATCTGCCTCTTGAGAAATCTATCTCTTTTTGTATAAATAACAAAGTTTTAAAAACACTGAAATCAGTGTTTTACACGCCAAAATTTAAAAAAAAGTTTATGTCTGGGAAGCATAGGTAGTAAAAACTTCCTTCACTATGGAGTCTGAGAAGCCCGATGTGGGAATTAAGCAGCTGACGAATTGGGTTCCACCCCGTCATCTCTTTGAAGCCTAAAATCTGATGAGGAAACTGAAATTGGGTAAGGAAATCAGAAAATAAAAATGAGAGATGGAGAAGTTTCTGTGCCACATTTGATATGACCAGAGATGATCACGGATGTACCCCCATTATGATCTGGTACACTGCAATTCCATTTTATAGAAGATGAAGCTCAGTGAGGTAACCTGGCTTGCCAGAAGGCACTCAGATTGTTAGCGACTCAGATTTCCATCCAGAGCCCGGGTCTCTAAACTCCTAGTTCAATCCCTAACCCTGGTCCATTAATTCGAAGTCACACAAAGGAAAGGAGAGTCAGAATCAAGTCAAAACTGTTTTATTGTCATTTACATATTTAATAGAAAAAGGAATGTAGCAAATGGCTCAGGGTTGTATAAAAAAAAAATCCAGGTTTGTACAGGTTGCTCTATTTACATCTGGGAGCAGAGCTGTCCCCACATCAGACACAGCAGCTGCACTTCTCCGATGCTCCTTTGCAGATGCAGCCCTGGGCACACTTGGCACAGCCCACAGGGCAGCAGGAGCAGCAGCCTGGGCAAAAAGGCAGAGTGAGAGGTCAGAGCAGACTCAATCAGGCACCTCCCTGTGTCCAACAGCAGGCCTGGCCCGAGATCAGACTCCAGACCTGGAGGATGTCTTTTTAGGTTGGCACAGCTCTGTTCTGAGACCACAGGTGGTACGTTTGGGGTTTGTGTCTCAATAGAAAAAGGCTGCCCTGCCTCATTCGAACTCAGAGCAGAAAGCCTGGAGAGGGAATGACATGGCCAACAGGGGCAAAGAAAGGCGTTCCCCAGAAGCATACACTCCAGGCCAGCCTTGAGTTCCCTCCCAAGTTTAGCCACAGCGCCAGATTCCTGGAGATGGCCCCACACTCACTCTTCTTGCACGAGGTGCATTTGCACTCTTTGCACTTGCAGGAGCTGGCACAGGAGCAGGAGGCCCCTGGAAGGAAGAGATAAAGGCAGTGAGCAGTGAGTGAGACGCAGAAGGTACAGCAGTGGGTCATTGAGTCTCCAGTGCGCCATTCTCTGTGCAGGGCCAGCCCTCAGAGCTCCTTTCCCACTCAGGACAGAGGAAGCAAGCCCCACGTCCTCTCCACTCATGCTGGGAAGGGCAAGCACCCTCCTGTTTTACCCCACCAGGAAGGTCCCAGAAGCACACACAACCCAGGAAGATTCGGACTGGGGCCCAAAACCTCCTGTTCTGAATCTCAAAGACGCAGTGTTTCCTGCCTCCCACCCTGCTTGCTCAGAGCCTGGACAGAGCATTGGCTTCACCAGCAGCCCCCTGACCAACTAGGTGACGTGGAACAGGACAGCCTTGAGCCTCAGAACACTCAACTGTGACACAGAGGCACAGTGAGGAGGGCAATGCTCTCAGGAGCTATTCCAAGAATAAAGTACTGGACGAAGTAAAGGGTCCCCTTCTGCTCAGAGCTCAAAATGCGACCTCCTCAAATGCAGGGACACTGTACTGTGGCTGGGAATTGGGCATTCCCAGGCGCAGAGCCGCACTTCCCTTACCAGTGGCGCAGGAGCAGTTGGGGTCCACTTCCAGCCAAGAGCGGAGGGGAGAGGCGAAGAGGCCTGGAATGCGCGTTGGAACCTGGAGCCGGCTGCTCCCTCTGCAGGCGGAGATGGGACCGTACGCAGAGGCCCCGCCCGGCGCTTGCACCCGCGCCGCTGAGTCTGGGCCTCCTGTGGGTACTTGGCGGAACTGTGAGCAGCAGGCGGGCCGGGCGCAAGGTGTGCACCGCGGGTGTCCTGTTTGGCGCTCGCTCGCTCGCTCAGGCCTGTGCACCCGGTCGTCCGCGGCGCCCCTGCCGTCCTGCTCCCCGCAACTTCCCCAGTTTCTGCATTTCCTTGTGGTTGCTGGACATCCCCGTCCAGGAACCCAGCCTCTGGTGGTCGCAATATTCCCACTCCCACCACCCCATCTGCGGTATTTCGCCTTTCCTGGAGCCGGTGTGCAACCCCAGCTTCGTCCCTGGATAGGCCTGAGCCGGCGAGCGCGGCGAGGGAGTTGTGTGCAGAGAACAGTCATGGATGTGACCCTTGCTTTCTGCCCTCCTGCCCTCTAGCACTGCCTGTCACTATCCCCACCATGGTCCTTCTGCCACTTTCTCTTGAGCCCAGCAACAGGGCCCACCCTTCCATTCCTCATGCCTGAGCAGTTGTATGGGCACATTTGTCTGGGGCCTCCTTTACACAAAATTCTGCAGGGGCTCCTCCAAAGCCTAGCGTGCCCACCCAACTCCAGGAGAGTAGTCCTGAAAATATGGAGTGCCCCCAAGGGCGGGATCTGCTTAGGTGACTCCAGACCCGGAGGATGGAGAATCTTTGTTAAATAAGAATATTTACCTTTCCATTTTCCTATTATGCAACAATCTGCGTGAGTCTGTTTAATCATTTTAGTTTTTTGAACCCTCTCAAGAAAAATAAAAGAGAAATACTATTCTAAACACGTTTTTCCTGTGGAAAAACTAAGGCACAAAGAGCCTTAGTAACTTGCCCAAAGTTATGGCTCTATGAGATGGTGCCATGCTACCTGAATCCAGTCAGCTTCCCAAGAGGAGGAAAGAAAACATAATGATTTCTTTTGGCCAAGATATGTCTGCAACACCACTGTGCTGCTTAAAATTATTATTATTATCATTATTTTGAAACAGGGTCTCACTCTGTCATCCAGGCTGGAGTTCAGTGATGAGATCATGGCTCACTGCAGCCTCAATCTCCTGGGCTCAATCTATCCTCCCACCTCAGCCTCCCAAGTAGCTGGAACTACAGGTACAGGCCATCATGCCTGGCTAATTTTTTTTTGGTAGACACAAGATTTCATCATGTTGCTCAGTCAGACTGGTCTCAAACTCCTGGGCTCAAGTGATCCACCTGCCTTGGTCTTCCAAACTGCTGGGATTACAGGCATGACCCCCCGTGCAGGTCTGCTTGAACTTTTTAAATCAGGGGCGGAGCACGGTGGCTCACACCTGTAATCCCAGCACTATGGGAGGCCGAGGCAGGCAGATCACGAGGTCAGGAGATGGAGACCATCCTGGCTAACATGGTGAAACCCCGTCTCTACTAAAAAAATACAAACAATTAGCCAGGCATGGTGGCTGGCACCTGTAGTCCCAGCTACTCGGGAGGCTGAGGCAGGAGAAGGGCGTGAACCCCGGAGGGGGAGCTTGCAGTGAGCCCAGATCACGCCACTGCACTCTAGCCTGGGTGACAGAGTGAGACTCCGTCTCAAAAAAAAAAAAAAAAGAAAGAAAGAAATGTTTTAATCAGGGAGAAGCGTCTCTCTTAACCCTGGACAGCTTGCAAAGCGATGGAGATGGGAAATTTATTAAATATGTATATATACACGAAATACACATTAGAGTAATCTATGTCTGTAAATAAGACTGATTCTTGATTTTAGCACTGGTGAAAACTTTGCTTTCATTTAAATATATGTGATGATTAGTTTTATGTGTCAACTTGGCTAGGCAAAGTGTCCAGTTCCTTGATCAAACACCAGCCTAGATATTGCGGCAAAGCTATTATTAAAGATGTGATTAACATTTAAATCAGTAGTCTTTGAGTAAAACAGATGTCAGAGGGGATTTATCAAGTGTTACCGGCCCATTCAACCTGGGAGTGTCCAGAGGACACCACTTTCACCACATCTATGAGAAATAAATTTGTGAGGGGCGCCCTAGCATCCTGGAAGAGCTGTGTGGTCACTCTTTTTTGCAGGTAGAAATTCAGTGGAAACTGCTGCCGCTGAATTGGGAACCCTAAATGCAATGGCGATAATTTGGTCCCAGTGTGGCAGGGGCCAAGGGACAGCACTTAATTGCCAAAGGCAGCATGGGCCTGGTTGTTGTCATGGATGGCACAGTCAAAGCAGAATAGTATGACTTGCAGGCCAGGAGCAATGGCTCATGCCTATAATCCTAGCACTTTGGGGGGCTGAGGCAGGTGGATCACTTGAGCTCAGGAGTTTGAGTCTAGCCTGGCGAACATGGCGAAAGCCTGTCTCTACCCCTCCAAACATACAAAAATCAGCTGGATGTGTTGGTGCCTGCCTGTAGTTGTAGCTACTTTGGGAGCTGAAGTGGGAGGACCACTTGAGTCTTGGAGGTTGAGGCTGCAGTGAGCCATGACACTGCTCTCCAGCCTGGACGACAGAGCGAGACCCTCTCTCAAATAAAAAGAGTAATATGATGCACAGAGACCTGTGGTGTTGGCTAGTTGATCATGGTGGTCGTATGAGCAAACAGAGGAATCAGCCTACAAAAATCTTACTCATCTGTAAAATCAAAATATCTATTTCCTGTCCCCATGACTTTATGCTTTGCTGGTCTCAAGGTATTAGTTCCAAAAGGAGGAATGCTTCCTTGGGAGACACAGTGATTCCATCAAACTGGAAGTTATGAGTCCCACCAGGCCACATTGAGTCCTCAGACTTCTGTATCAACAGGCAAAGAGGCTGGGCACTGTGGCTTACACCTGTAATCCCAGCACTTTGGGAGGCCAAGGTGGGTGGATCACCTGAGGTCAGGAGTTTGAGACCAGCCTGACCAACATGAAGAAACCCCATCTCTACTAAAAGTACAAAATTAGCCAGGCGTGGTGGTGCATGCCTGTAATCCCAGTTACTCAGGAGGCGAGTCAGGAGAATTGCTTGAACCTGGGAGGCGGAGGTTGGGTGAACTGAGATCACGCCGTTGCACTTCAGCCTAGGGAACAAGAGTGAAACTCCATCTCAAAAAAAAAAAAAAAAGAAAGAAAAGAAAAAAGGAAAAGAAAACAACAATAACAACAACAACAAAAAAACACAGGCAAAGAAAGGAGTCACTATTCTGGCTAGGGTGATTGTGGTTACTTCTTTGTAATCACAATCTCTGCAATGGAGGTAAGGAGGAGGATGTCTGGAATACAAGAGATCCCTTAGGGTGTCTCTTATTATTACCATGTCCTGTGATTGAAGTCAGTGGAAACAACCCAATTGGGACAGGAATGCATGGCCCAGACCCTTCCAGAATGAAGGTTTAGGTCACCCCACCAAGTAAAGAACCACCATTGGTTGAGGTGTTTGCTGAAACAAGAGGTTTACACCTCTTTTAGGTTGTAAAAGAAGGAAGCTATAAATAGCAGCTATGACCATGTGACCAGTTACAGGTATGGAAATGAGGAATGTCATTGTTATGGGTATTTCTTCATTATGTTGTTATAAATGTGTGTGTGTGTGTGTGTGTGGCAAATATTTTTGTTTTCTTCCGTCTCTTATCCCATTGTCATATAACAGGGGATGTATTAACTTTGCATCACAATATTTAAGTTTTGCTGACTTTATATCATACTATTTAGGTTATAGGATGTCAAGGAACATGCCTCAAGGATTTTGCAATCAGTTTTGGGAAGAGAGTTTGTGTCATTTCAGGCATACATAGGACAGTTGTCTCACGTTAGGTGGAGGTATGACCTTGTTTTAACATTAAGTATAGTTTAAGGAGATGTTTATGTCTCCCAAATTAACAAGTGGTGGACTGCAATGGTTAGTTTTATGAGTCAGCTTGGCTAGGTTATCATATCCAGTTGCTTGGTCAAACACTAATGTAGACGTTGCTGTGAAAGTGTTTTTTTAGATCTGATTACCATTTAAATCAGTAGGTTTTGGCTGGGCGCAGTAGCTCATGCCTGTAATCTCAGCATTTTGGGAGGCTGAGGTGGGTGCATCACTTGAGGCCAGGAGTTAGATAACATGGTGAAACCCTTTCCCTATTAAAAATACAAAAATTAGCCTCTTAATCTGTTAAATAAAACACAAAAATTAGTTGCTCTTTGAAAAATACCAAAATTAGCGTGGTGGTGCATACCTGTGATCCCAGCTATTTGGGAGGCTGAGGCAGGAGAATTGCTTGAAACCAGAAGGCAGAGGTTGCAATGAGCTGATATCGCACCACTGTACTCTGGCCTGGGTGACAGAGCGAGACTCTGTTGCAAAAAATAAAATAAATCAATACATTTTGAGTAAAGCAGATTATTCATCATAATGTGTGTGGGCCTCATCCAATCAGTTGATGGCCTTAAGAGGAGAAACTGAGACTGAGGTCCCTGGAAGAGAAAGGAATTCTACCTGTACACCACCTTCAGATGAAAGGCTATAATATCAACTTCTGACAGAATTCCCATGCTGCCAGCCAGCCTCGCAAATTTTAGACCAGCCATCCCCACAATCACATCAGCTAATTTCTTAAAGCTTTCTTTTTATCACTATCTATCTAGGGATATTTTATTGGTTCTGTGTCTTGGGGGAAACCATGAGTAATACAAATGCATGTTGGAAAATATGAATCATTTAAAGGAGAATTGTTAAGTAAAATTGTGATGTAGGTGGTAGCAGATATGGCAGGCATCCATTTGTGTGTGCCACAAGGGCGTGGACTGTCCTGCTCCTGGTTTTCTGTATCCAGTGCTGATCACAATTTCATGGGAAGACTGAAGACTCTCTGGACCACAGTTAACATGCTCAGGTAGTTGATGAGGAATGTGGAGGTCACATGGCTGGGAACAGCAGGCCTGGCTTATTGGTCTGGAGGTAGAAAAACGTCCCTATGCTATGAATAAAGATAATAAAATTATAGCTAGGTTGTGCATAGTGGCTCATGTCTGTAATCCCAGCACTTTGGGAGCCCGAGGCTAGCGGATCACTTGAGCCCAGAAGTTCAAGACCAGCCTGGCCAACATGATGAAACCCCATGGCTACTAAAAATATAAAAATTAGCCAGGCGGGGTGGCATGTGCCTGTAGTCACAGCTGCTCAACAGGATGAGATGGGAGGATCACCTGAGCCCAGGAGGTGCAGGTTGCAGTGAGCTGAGATCACCCCACTACACTCCAGCCAGGGTGACAGGGTAAGACTTTGTCTCAAAAAAATAAAATAAAATAAAATAAAATAAAATAAAATAAAATAAAATAAAATAAAATCATAGCTAATATTGTTGTCTGCTTGATACATGGCAAGTGCTATTCTAAGTTCTTTGCATGTATTAAGTCATTTGCTGTCACCAGCCAGACCCTATTATTC